GCCTACACGGCTGAAAGGGCAAGCATGTTTGGTGGGACGGGGATTCGAACCCGTGACCCTCAGATTGCGAGTCGAACTCAATAAGAGGGAAATCTCACTAACCTATTTCCAGCTGTGCTAACAGCAAAAATTGGAAAATCTAGGTCATCTATCTCCAGTAGTATAAAAGCGAAACGAGAGAAATCTACAAAATGTATTCTCAATTATATAGCAGCAAAAACAGGGAAAATCTATGGATTGATCCCTTCGTCAGTTTCATTGCATTGAGTTTATTTTATTTTATACCGGTCTTTACTAAATCAATGCTACAGATACATAAATAAAGGATTAGATAAATAGGTATTAGCAGTTATGCCAGCAGAAAAAGTTTATATACAGATCCCAGTGATATACTTAGCTGTAGAAATCATCTGTTAGTTTATGATATACCTCAGAAACGATATAACAAACGTCAGTAGCACTAACACATAACACACTCATTTACACTAGGTGTGTTAGTAGCGTAACACATGAGTCTGCACCAGGAGCGCTACTAACGAACACATGAGTTTACACTAGAAGCGCTAGTACGTAACACATGAGCTTACACTAGAAGCACTAGTAAAGTTACTCATAGAGTCTATACCAGGGGCGCTAGTAGCGTAACACATAGAGTCTTTACCAAGGGCGCTAGTAACGTAACATATAGAGTTTATACCAGGGGCGCTAGTAACGTAACACATAGAGTTTATACAAGGGGCGCTAGTAACGTAACATATAGAGTTTATACCAGGGGCGCTAGCGGCATAAAGAGCTAGGAAACATTTGATTAATTTCGTTAAGTCTTCACCATCAAAAAAATATATACATAAGTTAATGTTGAATAATTTGCTTCTATGAACGCTGTAATTGAACAATTTATATCCAAGTTATAGTTCATATTTTCCAGTTGTCAAGAAGAAAGTTTTCGAAAATTCACACGTCTGTGCATACAACTAAATTGTGCCCTTAACTTGAGATAATTTTAAATGCGGGGCGTTGATAAAAAATGCGTAAATTGAAACATTTGCTTATTGATTTTTTTTTTTTTTGTTAAAGAGAAATAAAATTTTAATTTAGTTAGCTTTAACTAAATAAATAGTAATAACTGTTGTTTTTTAAAGCGCATCTTGTAAAATATAAGCAATGTACTATATCACGAGGCCTAAAACGTGGTTGTTTTATGACTTCCTATGACGTAGCGGATATAAGTGCTCTTGTCATGGTCGTAACTTCAGTCGGCCTCAGTACAGCAAAATCTTTTCTAAAAGGTTTAATTACCGGACGTTAAGCTTAAGAAACTCACCCTCAGTTGATGATCCGTGAAAGCTGTCCGGGCTTTTCTGGGTTTCTTGGTCTTCAAGGACGGACTGTCCACTCGACCAGGCACTCCATCTCCACCTACAGGTAAAAACAGGAACTGCAATCACACTTGTATTTCAGCTTTATGATGAAAGAGGACTATACTTATACACTTGTTGATAGGTTTTAGTAGAAAATGTTAATTAACCCTAAAATCGGGAGTCGATCGTTTAGCAGTTTGTGTCTGTTTTGATCATCACAATGCACGGCAAACGATAAAAATATTAAAATCACATTTCAAGGATAATTCCCCCCCCCCCAGTGGGACAGTGGTATGTTTACGGACTTCCAATGCTAAGATTCGGTGTTCGATTCCCCCGCGTTAGGCACAACAGATAGCCCAATGCGGCTTTGTTTAGAAACAAACAAAGAAAGATTCAAGGATAATTTAGCATTAGAGCGTTCAAATACAAGAAACCTTTATTTGTAAATGAGTCCCCTCCCCTGTTCGATTAAAGATTTTAGTGAAAGTCCATTGACCTTTACAAAGTAATTTACCTATAAAAGACCTATATTTAGTGCTAAACTAATCAACTTACACTTGGAGAACGTCTGAAAGTCGTGTTTATTCTAGTCTCAGTTGTAAGTACAAGATTGGAAGGTGTGATTTTGGCACGAAATTCAATCGTTGTGTGTGTGTGTGTGTGGACGTAGCCATGATGAGGTTCCTGTTAAAGTTTAAGCGATCGGAAAGAAAGGTTTTCCAAAATTATTAGAATCAAATCAAACTAGGGCAAGAAGACTGGAAAGCAGGAGGAATACTGAAGATAAAATACTTTCTTCATTGTAACCACTTTCATTGTCTTAGATCGTTCAGTTTTGGCAGACTTAGATACGACTGATCACACCTCAAACAATGAAAGTTTTAAGAAACAGTTGAGGAATATTTATTGTTAAAAGTTACTGTTTAAACTCTGAGAGATGGCAAATAATTAGAAGCCATCTGACCTTAAATTTGTTCTAAAAATCACGTTAACTGCAAAAGTCTTTTTTACACGTTCCTCTTATTTTTTAATGTTGTGTATTACAGATTCAAAATTATCTTTCCTCTCTCACAAGTGACTGTTAATACGTGTTAATAACTTTAAGGCTGTTATACACTACAAGTTCGTGTCTTACCATGTACAGTATAATAATTGCTGTATTTGAAGTATATAAATGCCACATTTTCTGGAGTTCATACCCTCATGATTCCCATAGAAGTACATTGTTCAGGTCTCGGATGTTCTTTAGCCCTCCATGCCTTAAGATGACCTTTGATTTCCTCGCTTGTGTTTAATTAAGCGACTTATTAGTTACACACTGGCATTCAACTTACCAATTAATTATATTTTACAGCAAAAGTTTAGTTTCTGGCATGTGATTGGTGAAAATTATCCCTGTATAATTAACGCCACCTATTGCTCAACGCCTAGCATTTCAATCCTACATCACGTAGAATACGTTTCACACTGGAATACGCTCTGAGATACGTTTCCAGAATGCGAAGTATTTCGATTGTTGCATTTATGTAAGAAAATTGCTTGGCTCAATCCTGAAATCTTGGTACTGCATCAGTGTATTGGGTCGAAAAGTCCACCCTTGGACAGCTTTCTTTAAAAAGCACATTACAACTCAGCAAATGCAAATATTGAAACGCAAACCGCCTGGCGGCAACACTTAGAACAACACCCTGAATCATACAGATCATTAAATTCAAGAAATGCGTGTAGATTGCTAAAATAATGCCCAACTTACAGAAGTTCCTGAAACTGGAGATTTTTAACTAGAAGTCCGGAAAAGAAACGCGTTGTTAAATTGTTGAAACAGGAAACAAACAGTTTTTAATTTAACCATTTGAAGCCGTATTTTAGAAGGAAACAATTTTAGTCGAAATTAGAAAATAAAGAAAAGTACTTCGATAAACATGTACATAAAACTTTAAAATATTAAAATAAAAAACTCGAAAGCGCCCGGGTTATTGGTTTTTTTTTTCTGAATCCTCCGGTTGGTCAGCGGTAAGTTTAGGGATATAAAATGCAAAAATCCGGGGTTTAATTGCCCGTGATAGACAGAGTGCAGATAGTCCATTATGTCGATTTACACTTTACATTCCTTCGTGATGTTGAGAAAAATTAATATCCTAGAGTTATATAAAAATCTATATTTGAATTAGCTCAAGTGATGTATTTGATAATTATAACTTGAAAAAAGTGAGAAAGAGAGGAAAAAATGGGATATACATACCATTAAAACGCACTTATACAAAAAGGTTTGAATATTTAAAAATATACTTGATAGGAAATTACAATAGCGAGCTCGTATCGGAAGTATAAAACGGAAGTGAATGAGATAGAATTTTTTTTTTTCGTTACAAAACAGACTATGTTCAACTTTCCCATTCGTTTCCTTTTAGGTGCGTAAGTCGAGTCTGAGTTAGGTATTAAAATAAAAACGTCACAAATGTTATGTGAGATCTGTTAAAGTATATATATATATCTGGGAGATATTTTAATCTGTTTATCAGTGACATATTGTTTAAAAGTTTTCAAGCGATATATTAAAATGTCTATTGTTGAGATCTGTTTAAAATATTTATCTGTAAAATTTTTAAAGTGTTTTGTGAGATATTGTTAACGTATTAATGTGCAAGATATTGTTAACATGTTTATGTGTGAGATATTGTTAACATATTTATGTGTTAGATATTGTTAATGTGTTTATGTGCAAGATTTTGTTAATGTGTTTATGTGCAAGATATTGTTAATGTGTTTATGTGCAAGATATTGTTAGTGTGTTTCACGAGATTATTAAAAAGTTTATCGGTGAGATATTGTTAACATGTTTATGTATGAGATATTGTTAACGTGTTTATGTGTGAGATATTGTTAGTGTGTTTCACGATATTATTAAAACGTATATCAGTGAGATATTGTTAAAGTGGTGTTTAACAGTAAGATATTTCTACGTGTTTATCCGTGTTAAAGCATTTATTTGTGAGATATTGCTAATGTGCTCATCAGTGAGATATTGATAAGGGGTAAGATTTTTTTGTAAACGCTTATCTAAGAGATAATATTACAGAGTTTGTATGCGTTAGATTCTGTTAAGTGTTTACTCGTTAGGTCTCGTAAACGTTTTTACAGGTAAACTTGCCCGTTTCGTTTTTTCTAATGATGCAACGTAAATGAGGAGATGGAATGACTTACATAATATACAACATACAAGGGACATTTTTAAAGATGCAATCGAATGTTTCTTTGACACAAATTGGCATTTCGGGTTTTTTGTGTGTCATACTTTGAACCAGGGACACTGTGAACTCTTGTCTGCTAGCTGTATTGTTTTATGCTAGCTTTCTTATGAATTGTTATTTTGTCAGTTACTTTGTATAGAAAAAATACACAGCGTCATTCTTGACGAAATAGCTCGTTCTAGACGTTTTGTCCTGTCCGTAACTTATTTATAGAGATATTGTTGAGTACTAACTCGTTCTGGACGGTTTTGTCCTGTCCGTAACTTATTTATAGAGATATTGTTGTGTACTATCTCGTTCTAGACGGTTTTGTCCTGTCCGTAACTTATTTATAGAGATATTGTTGTACAAGATCGTTTTAGATGTTTTGTCCTGTCTGTAACTTATTTATAGAGATATTGATGTGTTCTAGATCGTTTTAGACGGTTTGTCCAGTCCATAACTTATTTATAGAGATATTGTTGTGTAATAGCTTGTTCTAGACGGTTTTGTCCTGTCCGTAACTTATTTATAGAGATATTTTTGTGTACTAACTCATTCTAGACGTTTGGTCCTGTCCGTCCATAACTTATCTATAGAGATATGGTTGTGTAATAGGTTGTTATAAACGGTTTTGTCCTGTCCGTAATTTATTTATAGAAATATTGTTGTGTAATAGCTTGTTATAGACGGTTTTGTCCTGTCCGTAAATTATTTATAGAGACATTGTCGTGTACTAACTCGTTCTAGACGTTTTCGTCCTGTCCGTAACGTATTTAGAGAGATATTGTTATGTAATAGATCGTTCTAGACGGTTTTGTCCTGTCCGTAACTTATTTATAGAGATATTGTTGTACAAGATCGCTTTAGACGTTTTGTCCTGTCCGTAACTTATTTAGAGAGATATTGTTATGTAATAGATCGTTCTAGACGGTTTTGTCCTGTCCGTAACTTATTTATAGAGATATTGTTGTACAAGATCGCTTTAGACGTTTTGTCCTGTCCGTAACTTATTTATAGAGATATTGTTGTGTTCTAGATCGTTTTAGACGGTTTGTCCTGTCCGTAACTTATTCATAGAGATATTGTTGTGTACTAACTCGTTCTAGACGTTTTGTCCTGTCCGTACGTAACTTAATTATAGAGATATTGTTGTGTACCAGATCGTTTTGTCCTGTCCGTAACTTATTTATAGAGATATTGTCGTGTACTAATTCGTTCTAGACGTTTTTGTCCTGTTCGTAACTTATTTATAGAGATATTGTTGTGTACTATCTCATTCTAGACGGTTTTGTCCTGTCCGTAACTTATTTATAGAGATATTGTTGTGTACTAGATCGTTTTAGACGTTTTGTCCTGTTCGTAACTTATTTATAGAGATATTGTTGTACAAGATCGTTTTAGACGTTTTGTCCTGTCCGTAACTTATTTATAGAGATATAGATGTGTTCTAGATCGTTTTAGACGGTTTGTCCTGTCCGTAACTTATTTATAGAGATATTGTTGTGTACTAACTCGTTCTAGACGTTTTGTCCTGTCCGTCCGTAACTTATTTATAGAGATATTGTTGTGTACTAACTCGTTCTAGACGTTTTGTCCTGTCCGTCCGTAACTTATTTATAGAGATATTGTTGTGTACCAGATCGTTTTGTCCAGTCCGTAACTTATTTATAGAGATATTATTGTGTACTAACTTGTTCTAGACGTTTTGTCCTGTCCGTAATTTATCTATAGAGACATTGTTGTGTACTATCTCGTTCTAGACGGTTTTATCCTGTCCGTAACTTATTTATAGAGATATTGTTGTGTAATAGGTTGTTATAAA